TCGAGTATTACGATTGTAGGCTAGGAGGTAGTTGAGTCTTGCCTTACTTTGTACCTTTGTGAGCCTAGTCTGGTAGGGTTTTTGTCTAAGATAGCTAGTGACAATGTCGTGTCTTACTATCTTCTCTTTTCGGTGCAAGACCTATTTACTAGCCATCGTTTTTGCTTTGCATTTTTCTTCTGCATTTTATGTTCCTATTTTTCCTATGATCTCTGTATTGAAACTAATATTGTCTCCTTTTGTCTTTTTATTCTCTTCAGCCGAGGGTCTTTTTGACACAGCCTCTCTACTCCTTCGGGGTAGGGGTAAGGTCTGCGTACACACTACCCTCCCCAGACTCCACTAATGGAATTTTACTGAGTTGTTGTTGTTGTAAAGCTTCAATGCTTTTTAATTTGATGATTGTTAATGGAGATTTTAATGAAATTTATAGCTTTGTAATCGTTTTTAACAATCATTCTTTTTAAAGTGGGGGATTGTGATTATTTATTAATTTTACTAAAGTTTAGTTCGAATATGCCAAGTTCGTTATAACAGAAGATAAGGATATAGCTTTGATTCATACAAAAGATCACATTGATTTGATTAGGAATATAAGTTCAACGAAAATTAATTTAATAAATTAAAATAAAATATCTGCCGAGTTTAAGTGGCAATGAGAGAGAGGCGTGAGAAAGAGACGGAGGAAAAATGGAAAAGATTGGAGCTTAATATATTACTTTATATAAAATTGATAATTATGTACAGAATATGTAACTAAGAAGAACCTCTATTAATAGAGTTTTTTAAATATATTTAATATTTAAGTGGTAAATATATTTAATATGGATTCAAACATACAATATAGAGTTTTTTAAACAATATTACTCCTAATAATTAGTACAAAATGTGACCGCTTATTTCCGTCTTATAGCTAAATCAATAGAATGAGCTGCATTTGCTTTGTACACTGGTAATTAATAATATTTCTTTAATTGCCCTCCAAAAAAAAATATAAAATCATAGATGACGATGATTATCCGTTGCAAAAAAAAAAAAAAAAAAAATTACTCGATCGTCCTTGTATAACATGCATATATTTTTCACACAACAAAAAATTGAAATTATTTTTTCCAATAAGCTTCCTGTTCAAATTCTGAAAATATTATTTGCTTTATTGATCCCCCCCCCCCCCAACCCTATAAAAGTCCTGCATAAAGTAAAAAATTAAAACCATCCAATATTCTTCTCATTAGGTCAATTTGTACTCTACTCTCACATGCATGGAGCTTTAATTTACAATATCATACGAGTCAAGCCACTGATTCAACAACATCTAACAAATATAAAGAAAGCGAAATAAACAATTAGTCAATAATTATTTGATAATTTAACCTAATAATGACAGATGGCTGAGAAGTACTTAAAAGTACCATCAGCAATGATTAATACAAAATATGTTCTTGATCAGACGGTCAATATTAGCTGTACGCATTAATAATGAACCCCAATATTCGGACATTCAGAATATAATCAATGGTCAACGATTCACCAAGTCTTCAATTACGTTGAACAAAGCTGGCTCAGCTACAGATCATCATCTCTAACATGTTACCAGATATAAAAAATTAATTTTCTGTTCAGACCCGATTTTTGCTTAAATTAACTTAAGGCGTTTACAATTTTTTTATTAAATTAGGCCATTCTTGATATTATTTTTATTAATATTAAAGTCAACATCTTTCTTAGCCCTCAAACTATGCCTACAAATTAGTACAAATTACTTTAATAATCTGATCCCTTTACATACAAAAACATATCATGCTTTATGAAAGTCAAAAGGCAAGTGTGTGGTCAACTTGATGAACGAAAAGAAAAAAAAAAAACAAATTTTCAGGAAGCAATTACATTTTTTGTTACAATTAATCAAACTGAGACTCATCAAAATTCGTTAACGCTACTGAATATCCAACAGTGTCAATATAACTTATGCTCTTGAACTTGAATATCAAATTTATTGAATGTCTTTATTTGTATGTAAATTTGAGTTATAGCTAAATTCAGTGTTGGCTAATTGTAATTCTAAATAAATTTTTTGAATTAGAGACTGTTTGGCCAACGTCTTTTTAAAATCTGGGTATTTTGAAAATTATTGGGTTTATAGAAAAAGTACCTGTATATACTATATATAGTAACAAATTTATGTTTGACCAAAAAATCATTTGATCAAATACTTTTGTTAATATTACAGAATCAGTTTGCATTTGACTAATCTTTTCAAACAGCACTTTGCATCAAATTACAAAAATAAAGATCACTTTTACCATTAGTATCATTTAAATAAATGAATGAATTAAAATATTTAATTTGAGGCTTTAAGCTGTTTTTTTTTTTAAATTTCATTCAACTAAAATTTACATATAAAACTAAAATTTGAAAATAGAGAGAGGAAGCATGTTTTTGAGACTTTAGTCGTAAATATCTGACAATACGTAAGGTTATTTTTTATTCATGTTGTTAGGACATAGTTTGGTAAATATAAATTTTGAATAAGGGTATTTTTGTTATGGAAACGCTTTAATACAACTTTGCCTTTTGACTTTTTCCCGCCTCTTCCCCCGGAATAGGAAAACAGTTTCTACTATATTAAAAGTTTGGCTAAATAATAATTTAACTCTAAAAATAAGTATTTTTAAAAAATTAAATATTTCTAATTTTCTAGAAGCTTGGTCAAATAGTCTATTAGTGTCTTTGACCAACTTATAATGGGTAAATTTAAGTTAAAATATCATGGTATAGCCAGTTTTCACACTGGTCAATGAAAAATAGCCAGCGTTTATTAAGTTAATGAAAAATAGCCACTATTTTGCTGCACAGGGACCGGTCCAGTATAATATACAGGAGTTCTGGTGCATTTGTGTACGAACTCCAGCATATTATGCTGGACCGGTATACTTTGCTAACTCCTGTAAAATTTGCGGGAGACTGGAGCACCAGTGCTCCAAACTCCAGTATATTATATAGGACAATTATACTTGCTGGAACTCCCGTAAAATTTGCGGGAGTTCCAGCATAATTATGCTTGAACTCCCGTAAAATTTGCGGGAGTTCCAGCATAGTTATCCTGGAACTCCCGTAAAATTTACGGGAGTTCAAGCATACTTATGCTGGAACTCCCGTAAAATTTGCGGGCGTATTTTTTCGGATTTTGAACAGTGTTTTCGCTCAGATTTAAAGTGGCTAAATTTCGATGACTTTTGAAACTTGGCTATTTTCCAACGACCAGTGGTAAATCTGGCTATTTTTGAATTTCTCCCTAAATTTAAAATATGATAGCGCAGCCCACGAAGGCTACTCATGTTAGGCAAATGTGTAAAAATTGGCTGGGGTAGCCACTTTTTAAGTGGTATTTATTTTTTTTTTCCAGCATTTTTAATGGTAAACAGAAGTAGTCGCCTATTAAAATTAATATGAAAAGATGGTGTTACCCTTTCTTCTATCTCTTTTCTGTCCATGTTATACCAGTGTAAAGAACGTACATTGATATTCCACAAAGTGTGACGACTGACGAATATGGCGACCGCTCAAAAATTTTATATACATTTAAAATTGTTCGATAGTAAAAGATTGGCAACTATAATAGCAAAACAAAAATAATAAATGTTTTAATCTTTTTAATAGAAGCATTATCAAGGACACTTGGTCCTTAACTTAGAGTTACAAGCACAGAAATTAAGGACAGGTAGTCCTTAACTTAGAGTAACAAGCACATAAATTAAGGACGGGTAATCCTAAACTTCGAGTTCCAAGTTCAAAAATTAAGGACATGTAGTCCTGAACTTAGAGTTACAAGTTCAAAAGTTAAGGACAGGTAGTCCTAAACTTAGACTTACAAGCTCATAAATTAAGGACAGCTAGTCCTGAACTTACAGTAACAAGCTTAGAAGTTAAAGGCACTTGGTCCTGAACTTTATGAGCAGAAGGGTATTTTCGTCCGCGCGAGTAAAAGTTTATTAAAGAAGTGGCTAAAGACTAAAGATTTTAAACAGTGGCTTAAAAGTAAATACATGTCTTATTACTGGCTAACTGTGCACTTCCCCCGGCAAATGTAATTCGAAGAAATCCGGGGGCAGATGCACGCTTATCGAAGTGTCAAGTGACAACGCTTCGTCGAAATTTTTTACTAAATATATGTATTAATACTCTACGAAAACAGATAAGTAGGAAAAAATAACACAACTTGACATAAACTGTGTCTTGGTATGTTGGTTATGTGCTTGATTTTGCTCTAAGAGGTCAATCAAACCTCAACTATCGCATTTTTCTTTTGCAAATATTTGAGAGAGCCTTTATGGTTAAAATTGTGATGAAATAGAATTGAACTCAAGACCTTTTCTAACTTAATACTCAACAAAATCAATAGACTAAGGCTATTTCTTGTCTATTCTAATTTTTTTTATAAATTTCGACTTATAAAAATTTTTGCGTACGCCCCTGAATTTAGAAACCGGTATATTATGTCCGAAGGGTCGTTTAGTTGGTTAGCTACGGAATAACAATCTCGAGATAAAATACGGGATTATTTTATCCCAGGTTTAGTTATGAGTATTAATTAATCCTGAAAACTATTTTATTTTAAAATGATGGGATTAACTATTACATATAAAAGGTGGGACAACTAAACTTATAAAATATTTCTAACCCATGAAATATCCTTGTCTATCTCATCTCACCAACCGAGCGACCCCTACTTACTCTTTTGATTACTGTGATGATTGAATACACCATTATTAATTATCTCATGACGAGAATGCTTCTGTTGTGGGAAAGCAATGCCTCACAAAGATATTGACCTTTTTTCTTAAGTTAGTATTATGTCACCGTCCAATTACCTTACTTTAACGGCTACACTTTCTTAATTTGTTAATCTTTTTTAAAATATTGGGAAATAAAAGAAAATAGGTTATATATAGAGTTGACATCCAAGGTGGCTGATATTATTTTGGCTATAAATAGCTAGGGCTATGGTAATCTTTTCCTATATCACAACACAACATTTCCAGCCTTAACAAAAAGAAAGAAACTGTTCCCACTTTCTAGCATTATTAATTTACTCTTCCTTCTTTCTTCTTGCTCTCTTTATATATTCTTCTACTCTGCTACAACTGCAGCAATGGCTATTCCAGTTATTGATTTTTCCAAGCTTAATGGAGAGGAGAGAGCTAAGACTCTCGCTCAGATTGCCACTTGCTGTGAAGAATGGGGATTCTTTCAGGTATTTTATTTTTCTCTTATTTATTTACTTTCTCCGTTCCGAAAAGAATAATATATAACTCTATTTCGTGGTTAGTTCCATTGAGAATGACACATCTCTAAATTTGAAAATAATTTAACTTGAACTTCACTATAATTCGTGGGCGCAGTTGGTGAATCATGGTATTTCTGTGGAGCTACTTGAGAAGGTGAAGAGAGTTAGTTCTGAATGCTTCAAAAAGGAAAGAGAAGAGAATTTCAAGAAGTCAACAGCAGTGAAATTGCTGAATGAAATTGTGGAGAATAATAGCAGTGGAAATGTTGACTGGGAAGATGTCTTCCTTCTCACTGACGATAATGAATGGCCCTCTAATATTCCTCAGTTCAGGTGAAAGTTTTACATTAATACTATACTAGTCTATATCCCCATCAAAATATGAACTCACAACAAGTTTTACGTACAAACCCTCCTTTATGTATTCACTTTTTGGATCTTAATATATAAGGTAGCGGTCAATGCCTAACCCCTCAGAACAACAGTCAATGGTGGTGGTTTCAATTTAAAAAAAAAAATGAAATTATGGGTTGCGTATGTTTTTAGCATTTCGATCATTTTCGCTAACAATATATAATATATGTACATTTAAATAAACAGGGAAACAATGGAAGAGTATCGATCAGAACTGAAGAAGTTAGCAGAGAGAGTCATGGAAGTAATGGACGAAAACTTAGGTTTAACAAAAGGGTACATCAAAAAAGCCTTCAATAATAACAACGGAGAAGAAAACGCATTTTTTGGGACTAAAATCAGCCATTATCCACCTTGTCCTCATCCAGAAAAAGTGAATGGCCTAAGAGCACACACTGATGCTGGAGGTGTAATTTTACTCTATCAAGATGATCAAGTAAATGGTCTCCAAATCCTCAAAGACGGCGAATGGATCGATGTTCAGCCTGTTGAAAACGCCATTGTTATCAACACGGGTGATCAAATTGAGGTCCTTAGCAATGGGAAATATAAGAGTGTTTGGCATCGTGTTTTGGCTAAAGAAATTGGGAATAGGAGATCTATTGCTTCTTTTTACAACCCTTCTTTGAAAGCTACTATTGCTCCAGCACCAGAGTTAATTGTGGAGAATAATAGTAATAAGGATAATAAGGAAGAAGTGGAATTAAGTACTTATCCAGCTTTTGTGTTTGGTGATTACATGAATGTTTATACTGAGCAGAAGTTTCTACCTAAAGAGCCAAGATTCCGAGCTGTTAGAGCCATGTGATGATCAAGATTAAGGAGAACATGGTTACCCATTAATTTAGCGTAATTTTTAGTCTTTTATTTTTTTACTGTGTGAAGTCAATAGCATTTTTCTCCTTTGTTTGATTCGTGGGGCATTGCTATTTATATGGCTTGTCAATCTTCAATAGCAGTGCATAAAATTGTGTCTGCTTTATTGGACTTTTTAGTGCTTTTGCTCTTCCCTTTCTTGGATTTCCTTCGCGAAAGTGTATCTATTAATTCTGTCTTTGTAAATTACAATTATATATTATAGATATGCATTAGGTATACGGTCAAAATCAGGGAAGACCGATTTTAAGGCTTCTACGGCATTCCAAGCCTGACCTCGACGGGCTCGAAGTATAGCCTAGGGCTCGGCCTCGAAGCATAGCCTAAGACTCGGCCTCGAAGCACTCGCCTCTAGAGGATGTATCGAAGGCTCATCATAGCGTACCTCGAGGCAGCATAAAATCGACGATCGTCATGGAAAAGTGGGAAAGCTCCCAAGACCATGTGATTAGATCTGACCAAGTCTGCAAGAAAAGTACAAATCCGTACTGAGTCATCGCACAGCTGTACCAATAGCATTCCCCCATCATTATTAGATATGTACTATGTTAGGATCCTCCCCTCCTATATAAAGGGGACCCTTGTCATCTTGTAGAGGCATTCGGATTATCATTGAATAACATACAACATTCTCTGCTCTCTTTGCTAGAACAACTGTTCTTCACATTTATCGCTTATTCTTACATTGTTCATTTATTGTTCTTCATTTATTGCTCATTATCAATCGTAAAAGTCTATCTTTAAGGCCATCATTACCATTGATTCTTTATCAATAGTTCATCGTTATTAGCCCCATCTAGACCTCGAGGTCCTGCTTCAGCCAACTCGAGGCCCAGCTTTGTGACCCCATTGGTTTGCATTCTCTTTACCTATACCTACCATCTGTTGCTTAACAACTAGTATTAAAATAAATCACATATTTTAGAACCACAAAATCAAATAATTGTGGTTACCATTTTCAAGGTAAATAGTTTGGCGCCCACCGTGGGGCTAAAAATAATAGTGATTGTTTCGGTGCTAGTTTTCTGAAAACACAAGTTATTTTTCACACTTTTTCTTGTCCAAGAATCGTTGATTTCAGGTGAAAATATCTAACTCAGCAAATGCACGCGAAAACGACGGTATTGGGCTTCAGGGAGGAAACAGTGTAGACGCCGGTGTACCACCGCAAAACCCAGGGGTAGCACCAGCAGATGCCGGTGTACCACCGCAAAACCCTGGGGAGGCACCAGCACAAATCCCCATCGACGTAAGATCACGGAACGCTGTGCATGTCGATGTAAGCTCTCCTACCGACGGAAGTGTGCACGGTGAGGAAAGAGACATTAGTCTTCAAGTCATTTTTGAAATGTTGCAAGCACAACAAGTGGCTATTGCCCAGCTGCAAAGTTACCCAAATAATTCCAAGCACAGCAGTACCGGAAACGACTCCTCAAATCGAGCGGGCACCGGAGAGATCGAGTAACAACGGGTCTTCCCTGATTTGACAGGCATTCGAGGCCAATGGAGGCACCCCGATTGTCGGAATACAACTTCAACATCGATGTCTCGGACATCGTATCAACCATGGGTAGAATCAGGGATACCAGATGGCCAAAACCCGTGCAGTCAGATCGTTCCCGAAGGAACCCCAACTTGATGTGTGAATACCATGGCATTCACGGTCATAAGACCAAGGATTGTAGACAGCTCCGAGAGGAGGTGGCCCGACTGATTAACGAAGGGCACCTTCGAGAATTCTTCAGCAATCGAGCTAAAGACTGCTTTCGAGAAAGAGAGGCGAACGGAAAGAATGGACCAGAAGAACCTCAGCACATCATTCACATGATAGTTGGAGGAACCGACGTCCCACAGGGACCCATGTTCAAACGGGCCAAAGTGTCCGTCGCAACGGAAAGGCAAACTCGGAATTACATGCTCGAGGACGCACTTGCATTTAGAGAAAAAGACATCGAGGCCTTGTCCCTACCACATAATGATGCACTCATAATTTCTTTTCTTTTGAATAACGTTCAAATTAAACGTGCGCTCGTAGATCCAGGTAGCTCGACCAACATAATTAGGTCGAAGGTGGTGGAGCAGCTCGGACTGCTCGATCAGATCATATGTGATGACCCTAAAGGTCATCTCTTTTTTTAGAAGTCAAAATTGTGTCTCGAGGCCTTGAAAACCTCTTTTTGTCTCACCTCGATTTGCGTGCACAGTATGGGTGCGTTTCCGGAAAGCTTTTATGTGAAATTTTAGAAAAATAATGAAATTGGCCTTTAAAATTAATTAAAGTTGACTTTGGTGAATATTCTTGGTAAACGGACCCGGACCCGTGATTCGACGGTCCCGTAGGGTCCGTAGTAAAATATGGGACTTGGGCGTATGCCCGGAATCGAATTCCGAGGTCCCAAGCCCGAGAAAAGAATTTTTAAAGAAAATTATTTGCTTGAAAATATAAAGGCTTTTTGAAATAAAATGATGTGTGTTCTTGATGGTATCGGGCCCGTATGTTGGTTTCGGAGCCCGGTATAGGTTTAAAATAATAAATAAGTCAAATCTGTGAAATTTGGTAAGAATCGGAGTTGATTTGGTACAAATCAGACCTTTAGTTGAGAAAATAGAAATTTCAATGTTCTTGAAGAATTTCATGAATTTGATGTTAAATTCATAGTTGTTGATGTTATTTTGATGATTTGATCGCACGAGCAAGTCCGTATGATATTTTTAGACTTGCGTTCATATTTGGTTTGGAGCCCGAGGTCTCGGGTGAGTTTTGAATAGGCCACAGAGTGAATTTGGATTTAGGAAGATTGCTGGTATGTTGCAGCTGTGTTGCAGGCGCCTGATCTCGCAATTGCAAGATCAGGCATTGCAATTGTGATGTACTCAGGGATCGCAAATGCGAGCTTTTGCTTCGCAAATGCGAAGACCTCAGGGCCTGCCTTCCTCGCAAATGCGAAGGTTTTCAGATAAGCCAGAAATCGCAAATGTGATGTTTTCCTTCGCCATTGCGAAGATGGCAGACATTCCTAGGGTTTGCAATTGCATGAGGCACAATGCCTTACTCGGAAGACCGTGGATTCACAACATGAGGGTGGTACCGTCAACTCTTCATCAGATGATGAAGTTCCCTACAAAAGATGGTATAAAAATAGTGCACGGAGAACAACATGCAGCTAAGGAGATGTTCGCGGTAAACGACATGGCACCAACATCGACTCTCCCTGTTCAGGATGAGTCAGGGAACAGGTTGACCCCCGAGGAACAGGTAGTCTGTGAGCATTCGAATGAAGATGACGAAGAAGATTTCCTCACCCCTTGGACCTTCATTGCCCCCGAGGAGTCAGATGCAACAAAATCAACGATCGAAGAACTCGAACAGGCCGTCCTGATCAAGCAACTTCCAGATCGAAAGGTATACCTGGGAACGGGATTAACCCCCGAACTCAGGAAAAAGCTCATCCAATTTCTTATTAACAACATTGATTGCTTCGCTTGGTCCAATTTAGACATGACAGGGATCCCGCTGGAAATAACCACCCATCGACTAAGTGTCGATCCCAAGTTCAAACCAGTAAAGCAAAAGAGGAGGCCTCAATCCGAGGTAAAACATGTGTTTATCAAAGATGAGGTAACAAAACTCCTCAAAATAGGATCAATTAGGGAGGTAAATACCCCGAATGGTTGGTTAATGTGGTAGTGGTTCCCAGAAAAGGAAATAAATTAAGAATGTGCGTAGAATAATGCATGCCCCAAAGACTTATTCCCATTGCCCAACATCGGTCGCTTGATCGATGCCACGGCCGGCCACGAGATCCTCACTTTTCTCGACGCCTACTCCGGGTATAATCAAATTTAAATGAACCCCAGAGGACAAGGAAAAGACTTCGTTCATCACAAAATATGGTACATACTGTTATAATGTAATGCCCTTCAGGCTGAAAAACGCAGGAGCTACGTACCAACGCCTAGTTAATAAGATGTTCGAATAGGCCAATCTATGGAAGTTTACATTGATGACATGCTAGTTAAGTCCCTACGCGCAGAGGACTATTTGACTTATTTACAGGAAATAGTCGATATCCTTAGAAGCTACAACATGAAGCTCAACCCCGAGAAATGTGCCTTCGGAGTAGGATCGGGCACATTTTTAGGCTTCATGGTGTCAAATAAGGGGATTGAGATCAACCCCGACAAAATCAAGGCCATTGAAGAAATCACAGTGGTAAACAATGTGAAGTCTGTACAGCGGCTGACCGGGCGGATAGCGGCCTTGGGCCGATTCATCTCAAGATCATCAGATCGGAGTCATCATTTCTTCTCCTTGCTCAAGAAGAAAAACAGCTTTGAGTGGACTCCGGAATTCCAACATGCCTTAGAGGAATTAAAGCGGTATCTCTTGAGCCCGCCTTTGCTCCACACCCCGAAGGAAGATGAAATGTTATACTTGTATCTGGCCGTATCCGAGGTAACGGTAAGTGGTGTGTTGGTTCGGGAAGAACAAGGTATGCAATTCCCTGTTTATTACGTGAGTCAGACTCTTAGAGATGCTGAAACCAGGTATCCACACTTAGAAAAATTAGCTCTTGCATTAATAAGTGCATCTCGAAAATTAAAACCTTATTTTCAATGCCATCGTATATGTGTTATAATGACATACCCTCTTCGAAACATCTTGCACAAACCTGAATTATCGGGCAGATTAGCCAAATGGGCCATCGATCTTCGAGGGTATGATATCGAGTACCAACCTCGGACGGCTATCAAGTCCCAAATTTTAGCGGACTTTGTGGCTGACTTTACGCCTACCCTCGTGCCCGAGGTAGAGAAAGAACTCTTGCTAAAACGGGCACGTCACCGGGGGTATGGACCCTATTCACCGACGATACCTCGAACGTGAGAGGGTCCGGGCTCGACATCATTCTGAAACCGCACACGGGCGACATGATTAGGAAATCTAAAATACTTTGAAATTAACTAGCAACGAGGCCGAGTATGAGGCTATGATTGCAGGTCTCGAGCTGGCCAAGAGCCTAGGAGCAGAAGTTGTTGACGCAAAATGTGACTCCCTTCTGGTAGTCAACCAAGTAAATGGGAGCTTCGAGGTTCGAGAAGACAGGATGCAAAGATACTTAGACAAACTTCAAGTCACATTG